TAATGCAACGCGTGGTAATTCTAAGCGTAGGGATCTGACGCGCGGTAATCTAACGCGTAGTTAACCATCGCGTAGTAATCCAACGCGTAGTAACACAACGCGTAGTAATACAACGTGTAGACATCTAACGCGTAGTAATACAGCGTGTAGACATCTAACGCGTAGTAATCTAGCGCGTGCATATTCAACGCGTAGTAATTCAACGCGTAGTAATGCAACGCGTGGGCGTAATAATGCAACGCGTGGTAATTCTAAGCGTAGAAATCTAATGCGTGGTAATCTAACGCGTAGTAATCCAGTGTGTGGATATCCAACGCGTAGTAATCCAGCGCTTAGATATTCAACGCGTGTTAGTCCAACGCGCAGTAATGCAACGCGTGCCAATTCTAAGCGTAGGAATCTGACGCGTGGTAATCTAACGCGTAGTTAACCAACGCGTAGTAATCCGACACTTAGTAATTCAACGCGTAGTAATCCAGCGTGTGAATATCCAACGCGTAGCAATCTAGCGCGTGCATATTTAACGCGTAGTAATCCAACGCGTACTAATCCTCGCAACATTGCAACTCCAACGAAAATTTTATTTCAGATTTAAATACAACTAACCATCAAACGTCCCTAAAGCTAGTGTTAACAGATTAAACGCGTACAACGGACAGAATGTAGAAATCGAACGAAACGAATTCATTTCTCCGAGAGAAACGTCCTAACCTGTTCGGTTTAAACGCGACAGTCGTTAGTCGCAGAAGCGAACGTTGCAATTAGGATTGAATTTCGAAGGTGGCGACGAACCGGACCAGTCGGATTAATTGTTCTCGTCCGATAGCACGTTTCTACGTTGTTACCAGCAAACATTTAGTTCTGTGCGAGAGCAGATAAGGAGCCAATCATTCTGCCATTATTCGCACTGTTCGGACCGTAAGTACTACTTGGAACAGCGAACGTGAAATTATTTGTGGATTGGTATTTTACGATTTCGGAAGTTTCGAGATAGGGAAAGTTTGTTCATTCGGGTATTTTAAGATTTTGAGATTGGGGGATTTATGTGTTGAGGAATTTGGAGATATGGAGAGTTTGGATTTGATGGTTTTAGGAGTTTGGGGTTCGTGTATTGAGAAATTGGAAAATATGGAGAATTTGTGCATTTGGAATTTTAGCGTTTGTGGGTTTTGGAAGTTGAGATTTTAGGACTTAAGGGTGAGATTTAGAAAATGGATAATTGGAAGTTTGGGAATTTGGAAATTTGGAATCTTGGAAATCTGGAATCTTGGAAATTTAGAATCTTGGAAATTTGGAATCTTGGAAATTTGGAATCTTGGAAATTTGGAATCTTGGAAATTTGGAATCTTGGATATTTGGAATCTTGTAAATTTGAAATCTTGAAAATTTGGAATCTTGGAAATTTGGAATCTTGTAAATTTGGAATCTTGAAAATTTGGAAATTTGGAAATTTGAAAATTTGGAATCTTCGAAATCTGGATTCTTGGAAATTTGGAATCTTGGAAATCTGGAATCTTGGAAATTTGGAAATTTGGAAATTTGGAAATTTGGAAATTTGGAAATTTGGAAATTTGGAATTTTGGAAATTTAGAAATTTAGAAATTTGGAAACTTGAAAATTTGGAAATTTGATAATTTGATAATTTGACAATTTGACAATTTTTAAAGTTACAAATTTGTGACCCTAACACGAGTACTTAGCAATTTGAAAATATTTATAAAAAATCAAAAATTCGAAAATTCTATCTTGCAGAAAACGAAAATTTTCAATTAAACAAGATTCCCTCGAAAACGTTGTGGTGTTCGGTTCCTCTATACAAGAAAGCTGAGATTAACCCTAGAACCCTGTTCATCCCATGGTAATGGAATCCAAGCTTTCGTTTATACTTCTACTCCTATTCCCATCGTTGCTTATGGCAGATGGACGTTGAGTCACTGATACTCATTGTTTCATACAGACACATTGACACGAAATAGCAACTGACATTTTGTTCTGATCAACTACTGTGCAGAGCTGTGAAGATGTCACTTGCAATATGTCATCTCGTTTCTTATATTTGTGGGAAACTTTATTGATTTTGTTTGAATTTTGTTAGTTATTTTAGTTTGTTAGTAAGTGTATTTTGGTTATATGAATAATAGGATATTGCTGGAAATGCGATAATACGAGGAAGAGACTAGCATTCAATTTGTCAGAAGCAGACAGGTGTTGAATTTATTAGAAGTAAGCTGGTGTTAAATTTATCAGAAATAAACTACTAATGAATTTATTCGAAGTATACTGATCTTGACTTCATCAAAAATAAACGACTAATGAATTTATTAGAGGTACACTGGTTCAGAATTCATAAAAAATAAATTACTGCTGAATTTATCAGAAATAGACTAACCTTGAATTGATCACAAATGAACTACCATTGCATTTATTAGAGGTAAATTAATGTTTGACTGATCGAATATAAATTAGTACTGGATTCATCAAAGTACGATTCAAGCTGAATTTATCAAAAATAAATGAGTGTTAAATCTACCAAAGGTAGACTTCCAATGAATTTATTAAAAATAAAATATTGTTCTACTCATCAGAGGTAGACAAAAGTTGAATTCATAAAAACTAAATTAGTGTTAAATTTACCATATGTAGACTTCTATTAAATTTATCAAAAGTAAAATATTGTTCTATTCGTTAGAGGTAGACTAAAGTTAAATTTACTCAAAGCAGACTAGTGCTGAATGTATGAACAGTAGATTGCTGTTGAATGCATCAAAACTAGACTAAAGTTGAATTCATCAAAAGTTTACTAGTGTTGAATTTATCAGAAGGTTTAAGGACTAAGGTTAAATTTCTGGAAACCAAACTAATGCTGAATCTATGAAAAGTCGACAGCTGTTAAATGCATCGAAGCCAAATTAGTGTTGAATTTATCAAATTAGATTACCATTGAATTTGATCAAAAATAGTCTAAGATTGAATTTATCAGAAGTAGACTACCATTGAATGTATCAAAAATAGACTAGGATTGGATTCATCAAAAGTATACCAGCGTTGAATTTACAAAAATCAACCAGTGCTAAATTTATTACAAGCAGATTATTAAACTTCCAAAAAAATATGTCGGTGTATAGTCCCTGGCCATCGAAGGACCACAGAAAATTTCGCTTCCATGGCTATAACATTATGTCGTATATGGAAAATTGTCATAGGTCATGCAAAATTATTAGTAAATACTTTGATAACATATACATAGCAATTTGTTATCGTGATAATAAATTGTGTGGGTGACGAGCGATTAAGGGCCGTGCGAGTGTTTACGTTAGGCTCGAGTATCGATGGCGCGTCAGGTGAAATTTGAATGCCATAGAAAATGTCTGCCTAATCAAAAGACTAGTTTACAACTCTCCAACCACATTATCCGAGTTGAAAAGAATTACAGATATTTGGGAAAGTAATGAAGATATGAAGCGTGTGATGTATACAGAGCATGCCGGAAGCTGTGACCAAAGCAAAGGGTGGAAATACAAGATATTAACGTATGTTAATAACGTTATGTACAGTAGTAGTGTATCATGGCAGCTAATAAATTATATCATTACGAACAGGCCTTTTAATTTTACGGAAAACGTGAAAAATGCTGAAAACAATGGTCGTGGACGACTATGTGGACTGTATTCACAAAAGGCAGACCCCTGTTGAATTTATAAGAAATTAAAACAATGCCCGTATTCCGTCTAGTAATAAGTTCGAAGGAAGCTCGGACGAGAACAATGTTTCTCAATGAATGATCCTCGATGATCAACCGTGCAGTGAAAAGTTGTTAAATTGGTGAGTACGAGGAGATCGTCGTTAGTTTCCGAAAACGGGAAAGAGAAGGGTGGAAATAACGAAGCGTTCCTTGGAGTTCGGCACGAAAGGAGATTTTCTGGGATGTAATTTCTTCCATTCAATTGCAGCGGAAGCTCGGTTCTTCGAAGGACGATGAATTCTGAAACGAATGATGAATCGCGCGCTCAACGCGAAGAGGATTCCGACAATGACTGAAAAACGGATGAATAAGAATGCACTCGAGTCGAGTGGCCAGCTGGACGACGAAGGGAAAAGAAATCCTGCTAACGAACATCCTGCCACGGGATCCGCGATAGTAATTCCTGACTCGGGGAGCTTCGTCGCTCCGGAAAATTCGTTTTCACGATGACAACGGCGTCGATTGAAAACTGCGCCTTCTTCGAAACATCTTTTCCGATTGCTAAGGATTTCGCTCTATTTTTAGTCGAAAGTTCTTATGAACATCTTCTCCGAGTCGACTTGTTACCAAATATAGTGAAATTTGCAACTTTTGGAATTTCGGGATTTTGAGGTTTTTGAAATTTGACAGATTCGGAACTTGGGAATTTAGGGATTGAGGGATTGAGGGATTTAAATTTTAGGTATGTAGGTAGGTAGGTAGCTAGGTAGCTACGTAGTTACGTAGTTAGATAGTTAGGTAACTACCTAACTAGGTAGCTAGGTAGTTAGATAGTTAGGTAGTTAGGTAGTTAAGTAGCTAGGTAGCTAGGTAGTTAGATAGTTAGGTAGTTATGTAGTTAGGTGATTAGATGTTTAAGTGTTTATGTATTTAAGTATTCAGAAATTTAGGTATTTAGATAATTAGTTATTATTTAATATTTAACAATTACATAAAGTCGTCCATTCAGTTCAAAAAACAAGAAAGTATATTTCTAAATCTCATCTTGTGACTCATACACAATACATATCTAACATACCTATATTTCTCAAACCACTTCCAACTCAAGCACACCACAAAAAATTTCATATTGCAGAAAACCTACGAACGAAACAAACATTTCATCGTTAATCAATAAATCCTCGATCGTAGGGAATAAAAGTGGAAGCCGAAGAATAGAATTCGACGTCTGATTGATCATAGGAGTAGGGATTTCCTTCCAACAACCCCAGATATGATCATTTGAAATTGAAACGAAATTTTCCCGCGAATCCGTAATCCTGTCGGCTGGTGATATTCTCGAAGCCAGCAGAGGCTATGTACCCGGTATTTACATATGTACACGCAGAGGTTGCCAGGTTGGGGGTACGGATAGGCGGGTAAAGTAAAAATTGACGAAGTCTAGGAGGCAAGGGCCAGAAAATGCTCGGAGCGATGCCTAATGAGCTTCCTGCGGCATCGCGTCGACGCCTCTACGACTGCCATTCAGATCCAGGATCCCTGACAGCACGGTAATTCAGAACCGAGCGAACGAGATTCGTGAAGTCGCTGACAATCGGCAGCTAGCGTGGCTATTGTTTCAACGGGCCGAGCCACTGGCTTTCAGATGTTTTAATAACCCGTTCTTACCCTCGTATTTTCTTTCGCGTTCGTTTCCTCCTTTTTGCCGCCAATTCGAGTGTCGAACCGCGTCTACCCAAACGAGACCAGACGTCGCGATTCTATACTTCGCTGCTGACAAGATGGCAGTCGGGCAACATGGACTTGGTACATATTCTTACCTTTAATGAGGGGAAGTCGCTAAGTGTTACTTGTTCATAAAACTTTGCTGTCAATTCAGACGTCTGACAAACAAAATCAAACTATTGTGTATTGTAAACTGACAATATGGCAGCTTGACAAGAAGACTGCTTGACAAGATGACAATGTCACAACAACTGTTAACTTAGTGGCTATTCTTACTTTTAACAAGGGGTACTTAATAAATGTACTCTCATTTATAAAACTTTATTGCAAATTCAAAGTGTCGAATGACGTTTACCAGGCAAGACTAGATGCAATTGTGTACTACAGCTGACAAAATGGGAGTCGAACAACAGCAGTGAACTTAAAGTATCATATATTCTTCTAATGAGAAGGATTTGTTCAGTGTTAGGTTCATTCATTCATAAAACTTTGCTGCTAATTAGAGTGTTCA